GTTTAGATTTTCTCAGTTCTCATTATTTCTTTTTATTTATTTATTTTTTTATGGCAGTTCATTCTAAATGTAAGATTGGACTATCGCATCTCGTGTCTGTTGTCCATCTTTAAAAGAGAATTTGATGAGAATAAAGAATCCCAAGGTGAAGGACCTGCAATTGGACTGACAACCCCTGATGCTAATGGTATTAATCTTGAAAAGATTGGAGACGAAGCAGAAGCTATGTTTGGAGGAGCGTAAGTAATATGCTTTTATTTTGATAGAGTCAGGGATTATCTGTAGTGATGAACATTTCACTCTGGTTCTAAAAGCAGTGGCTTACCCATTTATAATGCATGACGTACATAACAACAAGGGTTTATAGTCATAATATGAGAGTATGCAACTTACGTGGTTATGTGATGGAGATCCAGGTATATAGTCATTTGAAATGTGAGTTGAATGCAAGACAAACATACTTTCCTGAAAATATAAATGCTATTGAGTAAGTCTGTAAAAGAACTTTTTGTTGTTTTCGTCAGGGATGTTACCGGTAATTCTGGTTTTCTTGCTTATTCACAAAGTGTCTATCACATAAGTTTCATGTTTTGAATGTGGTAATATCTGAACATATTTATAATGTATGCTAACCATATGTCTGTTTTGATTGAGAATTACTCATACGATTCATCTCTATTTTGTCTCTTATCAGAACTGACCACGCTGACTTGGATTTAGACGGACAAGGTGGTCGAACATTTCTGCGTGTTTTACTACATCTAACTATGCATGACTACCCCCCACTGGTATCGGGAGCTCTTCAGCTGTTATTCAGACACTTCAGTCAACGACAAGAAGTGCTCAATGCTTTCAAACAAGTAAGTCACATCAAATTTCAAGTCAATAGTTAAATATTAAGAAAATAGCAGAATATTAGTAGTGCTCACGCTACATGAAGTATGGGCTAAGATTTAAGCTAATTTCATATGTCATATCAGCTAGACTCAAATGCGTTCAGGAGGGAACAGAGGACCGTGTCTTAAAAACGAACCAGATTTAATTTGTACTTAGTGTTTACGCAGGTTTTCTCAGCACTGGTTAAGGTATTTGACCTCTTAGCCTGTGCTAAGGAGCTGTGAGTGAATGCTACTATTAGATAAATTTTAAGTCAATAGATGAATATCAACTCAATAGATCAATATCAAGTCACAATAGATGAATATCAAGTAAAATTCTGTTCTTGTATATTCTATTTTTGTAGGTGCAATTATTGATCTCATCTAGTGATGTTGAAAATTACAAACAAATAAAAACTGATCTGGATGACTTGAGGCTGTTGGTAGAAAAGTCTGAATTATGGGTTTTTAAATGTAAAAGTGACAAAAAGAAAAAAGACAAAAAAGACAGCAAAGATAAAGGAGGAAAAGAGAAGAAGAAACCCGGAAAGGTAGGATACAAATTCAGTATTCTGGAAAAAATCTGATATATTGTTTAGTTCATTGTCGAGATTGCCCATATTTGGTTTATAGATTTCATTGTGATGTGTGTCAATGAAGAGCAGAAGCACCCATCCTCACCACACACTGCAAACAGTACTGTAACCATATATAATGTAATTGTATTATTCCGTTTCCATTGATGCAAGTCAGTTCTGGAATACACTCCTAACCTCAATGCAGCATTAATTCTTCTTCTTCAAGATATAACACATACGTGACTAAACTGCCGAACTAGAAAGACTCAAGTTTAATATTATTATGTTGCATTGTATCGTCATTGAATCCTTAATGTTGATGTAATGACAATTGTAGCGTTTAATAATAATAATAATTAAGAGTTTGTATAGCGCCTAATATCCATCATGATGATGCCCAATGACGCTGTCAGTTCACAGAAATGCTCTCTGAAACATATAAGTTTTGAGTTTAGATTTGAAAATGTTTAAACTGGCTGCAGAACGAATGTCTGTTGGTAACTGATTCCATAATGACGGAGAAGCATGTGAGAATGAGCGATTGCCATATGTCTTGAGTCTGGTTCTGGGCACGCGTTTCCCATGTCAAACAAGAAATACCGGTACTAGTGATTTTTAAAACATAATATATCCCCTCATATTAAATCAACAACAAAATTAACATCACCCATGACTATTCACTTCATAGACGTTATCAAGTTCATCTGTAAGCAATGGATCGCCTATAGACTTAGATTTAGGACCATCCATGGATAATGCATCTAAGAAGAACTACAAAGCAATACAAGAGGTGAGTTGTGGTCTTATGTCTTAGTTTGGGCATCACTGTCAAATGACAATCAGGTTTGAATACTATATACATGTACCAGTATGCAGTGTTCATCAGCCCATGTTTAATTAAAGGGCAAAGTTCAAAGTTAAAGGGCGGCAGTCGTCACGCCGCGTGCTGTTCGATATGGGACTCATAGCAACGTATATACAGCATGTAAAATACATTGTTTATTTACATGACATTTCAACACGTACTGCCTGAGGACCATCGCCCTTTAAGAATCATTTCACTAAACAAGCACCAGCAAATTCAAATTTAAAACTTTTGTGTGACAACTTATAGGAACAAAAAACCATTAACCTTCAAAATAATTTGTGTGTGTGTCAACTATGGTACCATTAATTCACAAGGCTGCCACCTGCTGTTGAAATAACCTAACATGTACCAAGCATGAGTGAACAGTGTGTATAAGAGTATAAGCTCAGCTATAAAATGGGAATGGTAAATCTTTAAGGTACACTGCCAGAAACCATGCATGGGGTAACCCTGATACAGTACACTGCCAGAAACCATGCATGGTCTAACCCTGATAAGATACACTGCCAGAAACCATGCATGGTCTAACCCTGATACAGTACACTGCCAGAAACCATGCATGGTCTAACCCTGATACAGTACACTGCCAGAAACCATGCATGGTCTAACCCTCATACAGTACACTGCCAGAAACCATGCATAGTCTAACCCTGATACAGTACACTGCCAGAAACCATGTATAGTCTAACTCTGATACAGTACACTGCCAGAAACAATGCATGGTCTAACCCTGATACAGTACACTGCCAGAAACCATGCATGGTCTAACCCTGATACAGTACACTGCCAGAAACCATGCATGGTCTAACCCTGATACAGT